TGGTGAAGTGCCTGTTCATATCCTTTGCCCATTTTTTAATTGGGTTATTTGTCTTTTTGTTGTTGAGGTTTTGCAGTATCTTGTAGATTTAGAGAATAGACGCTGATCGGATTTGTTGTAGCCAAAATTTTTTTCCCAGTCTGTACATTGTCTTTTTACTCTTTTAGTGAAGTCTTTTGATTAGTATAAGTGTTTGATTTTTAGGAGCTCCAGGTTATCTAGTTTCTCTTTTCGTTTTTGTGCATTGTTGCTTATGGCTCGTATTCTGTTTATGCCATGTATTAGGGCTCCTAGCATTGTCCCTATTTTTTCTTCTATGATCTTTATCATTTTCGATCATATATTTAGGTCTTTGATTAATTTTGAGTTAGTTTTTGTGCACAGTGTGAGGTGTAGGTTTGTTTCAATTTTTTGCAAATGAATATCCAGTTATTCCAGCACCATTTGTTAAAGAGACTATCTTTTCCCCATTTAGCAGACATTGGACCTTTGTCAAATACCAGCTGCTCATAGGTGGATGAATTTACATCTGGACTCTCAATTCTGTCCCAATGGTCTTTGTATCTGTTGTACCAGTACCAGGCTGTTTTGACTACTGTGGTGGTATAATAGATTCTAAAATTAGGTAGTGTGAGGCCTCCTACTTGTTCTTCTTAATGCTTTACTTATCCGGGGCCTCTTCCCTTTCCATTTGAAGTTGGTGATTTGTTTCTCCACCTCATTAAAAAATGCCATTGGAATTTGGATCGGGTTGCATTATATCTGTACATTGCTTTGGGTAGAAAAGACATTTTCACAATGTTGAGTTTTCCTATCCATGAGCAAGGTATGTTTTTCCACTTATGCAGGTCTCTTTTGGTTTCTTGCAGAAGTGTCTTGTAGTTTTCCTTGTACAGGTCTTTTACATCTCTGGTTAGATTTATTCCTAAGTATTTTATCTTCCTGGGGGCTATTGTAAATGGTATTGATTTGGTGATTTCCTCTCTGAGGGTCTCTTTGTTGATGTAGAGGAATCCAACTGATTTTTGTATGTTTATCTTGTATCCTGACACTTTGCTGAAATCTTCTACTATTTCCAGTAGTTTTCTTGTGGATTCTTTGTGGTTTTCTGTGTATAAGATCATATCAGCTGCAAATAGAGATACTTTTACTTCTTCCTTACCAATTTGGATGCCCTTTATTTCTTTTTCTAGCCTAATTGCTCTGGCTAGGACCTCCAAAACTATGTTGAATAAGAGTGGTGATAGAGGACATCCTTGTCTGGTTCCCATTCTCAAGGGGAATG